AAAGCCAAGAGTAAGGTGTAATCAGGGCTGTAGATAAATTTGTTTTTTCGGGGGGGTTCAGCTCGCATTTTTACCACTCCCCCCTACACCAACTTCTCCCCCTTAAAGGAAGGAAGGGAGGGAGGGGTGGAAGGAAGGAAGGGGTGGGTGGAAGGAAGGAAGGGAGCAGTGGGTGGGTGGAAGGAAGGAAGGAAGAGAGGAGTGGGTGGGTGGAAGGAAGGGAGGGAGGAGTGGGTTGAAGGAAGGAAGGGGTGGATGGATGGATGGAAGGAAGGAGTGGCTTTCAATGAAGCAGCTGGAAGCCACTCCTCCTCCTCCTCTCCCTCCCGCAGCTTCCAGCTGCTTCATTGAAAGCCATACAGGAGATCACTGCTTGTCACTGTCCCCACCTCCACCCCTCCTACACACCCCTAGTCCTGGCACTGCTCGCCCCCCCCCCCACCTTATTTCCACTCGTGGGCAAGAGGAAATTTCAAGGCTGCAGGGATGGTTGGCCACTCTCCTCTGGAGGGGGGGTTCAGACCCCTCTGACTCCCCCCTTATCTAGGCCCCTGGTTGTAATAACATACCAATAAAAGTCTGAGAATATACTGTATAACAGTAACATCATGAACTACAAATGACATTCCACTTTCAAACTGAAACCAGTGTCAGAAGGTAGCGTTAAAATAATAAAAGCCTGGGTTTTGTTATAAAGATAAGAGAGAAGGAAGTAAAGGAAGAAAACAAGAGGGAAGGAAAAAATGAGGGAGAGAAAAAAGAGGGAATGGGAAAAAGTACTGATGGATTATCTATACGACATGAATGTTGCTGCAATTTTTTTGGAAATATGCATGGACCTAGAAAAACCCATTGTTTTTTGGTAGGACAGGTTCAAATCGAAGCAATACCGTTCATTTACTAAATTAGGTTGTTCACCTAGCAAAATAACTGTTCTCTTTGTGACGTGAATATTAGAGAATAGAATGACGCTGTGTTCACTTTAAATACCCAATCATGTGCGCCAGAATAAAAATAAGAAGCAGGAATTTTTCTGAGCCTTGGGTATTTAAAGGGTAACTCCACTTTCATGGGGAAATTATATAACTTAAATAAATAATATTACATATACAACTGCCACAAAAGCTACATTATACTAGAACTATATTAAAAAATAAACTTTCCTTTTTCAGTGCTGTAATTTACTGTAAAGTGCAGTGGCAACCTGGAGGTGTTCTGTACACAGATGGTGTATGGACTGACCTCCAGAAATGTCATTTTATGCTTTTGTCATTGGCTCGCTGATTTTCCCAGAAGTGTGCACTGACATAAAAGTCAGATTTTGGGCATCCCCACATCCTCTGCAACAAAAATTTCCATGTTAGTAAGATACACCCAAAGGTTTATTCATGTTTAAAGGGATTCAGACCCTGCCAGGTTCCTCATTGGCATCAGCTGATTGATATTGCAAAAGTCACTCCCATTCACGTTCACTTTGCACATGGACACAGACAAACTGTTATTTCTTCAAAATAGCACAAGGTAGGAATCTGCAACAAAGTTTGCTGAAATACCTGCAATTTACATCACCCAGAAGGGAATGTTTTTTTCTCAACAAAAGTGGAGTAACTTTTTAACAACTTACCTTCTGTAGAACATTATATGATGTCCTAGGGTTTCAGTGCTTATAACAGGATGATGCTTCACCTGCAGGTGAAAATCAAAATTTTCAGCTGGTGATTTCCTTTACAGTAGAAGTGATTTGAGTGGCTATAGAGCCACTTAATCACCTCTACAGGCAGTGGAAGGGACTGCCCCTTCTTGCCTTCCGCCAACTCTCATGGGTTCTCCCATCCAAGCTGGGATACTGGGACCACTCCAACCAGCAGGATCTCCAGCAGTGAACAGTGAGAGAGGAAATAATGTTGTTCCTCCCCCTCTGTGAGATCGGAAACTGGAAGCGACAAATAATTTGTAACTTCTGGTTTCAGTTTTTTTTGCATGTACAAGCATCTGATCAAACCAATTTCAATGTGATCAGATGCTTTGGGGGCCAGGGGTGAGATCTTAGGTCTAATAATTAAAATTTTTAATAAAATAAAAAATTCTCCTTTATAGTTAGTGTGTTTTATTATTTGAAGCATTTTACACAATAAGTAAAAACGTCCAAAAAGCAACTTTAAAAAATGTAGTAAAAGTAGTAGTGTTAAAAATTTGATATTTTCAACCCTTTTTTCCATTTTATTAGCTAACTACCTCTAATAACAACAATATACACCAATTAATACGCAAAACAACACAATTCCAAAAACGGGCTGGCCAGTTGAGGTAAAAAATGAAGTTAAACAAAGTCTAGCAGGGAATTGCAATACTATGTGTGAAGGTTCAATAAGGCTAGGTTCACACCTTAAAGGATATGCTCACCTTTGGGAACATGTTGCATATTCCACCTGTTTTTAAGGTGGAACATGTAACATACATGTAACATGTTCCCATAGCGCAGCTGCCCCTGCCACCACCCCACCCCCCCCCCGACAAATAGTATGGGGAGAAGTTTCACCATACTATCTGTCAGCTATAACACATAGTACGCCCGCACTGCCCCATCATTCATTCACAGACTTCCGCGAATGAATGGACTGCAAGTCCCAGCAGCCTTAGAGGCTGTGGGCTTGTAGTTTTCAGTCACCTATCAGAGCACTGTAGAGCATCGTGGAAGTACATTGAAGCTTCCTGTCAAAATATCTGCTTGCTTGTACATCGCAAACAGATATTCTGACAGCTCTGCAGGAGACCTGCATAGCATCAGTGATCTACTGATCCCTGGTGCAATGCTTTACAGGCTCCTTTGGACAAAAATAATAAATGCACATTTTTTTACCTGCAAAAATGTGCATTGATTTTTGTCCAAAAAGGTGAAATTATCCTTTAAGGGCTCCTCAAGCTGCGGTTGTGCAAAAATTGCAGCTTATTCATTTGAATGGGCTGTTGTGTCTGTGTTTCATGCAAGAAAAAGGTTCCTGCACCTTTTTAAAAAAGCAAACTTCAGGAAATCAGTTGCTGCATTTTCACATGCATGTGGGTGCTGTTCAGAATGAATGGCAGCCCCAATAATCTGCAAAAGATTTACACACTATTCCACACCAGCAACCACCCGCACATATGTGAACCTAGCCTTAGCAGGTGACAGGTAGCAAGATCAAATCTTTTCAAGTATATGGTAGAAGGTTATCATGAAGTTGCTGGGTGGAGTAAATTAGAATAATTACAATTTCTTTCAAGTGTTTATCCTTTTGTTTTGAATATCTCAGTGCTGTGCACTACAATTATGCATTTTTCTTAATTTTTTTAGGTACAAACAATTTAGTTTATGAACCTAAAAAATAAGTGTATCAAAGTTAAATTGAACTTGTTTACGTATGAATTAAAGATTTTCCATTCATTAGCTATTTCATTGGGTTAGGGCAGTGGTGGGCAACCTTTTTTTTCAACTGAGCCAAATCTCGCCAAAACCACGATTGAAATTTATTTTGAGAGCCACATTTTTAAAACTGAAAATACATCCCCCATATAGTAATTCATCCCCCATAGTAATTCATCCCCCATAGTAATTCATCCCCCATATAGTAATTCATCCCCCATATAGTAATTCATCCCCCATATTAATTCATCCCCCATAGTAACATCCCCCATAGTAATTCATCCCCCATATAGTAATTCATCCCCCATATTAATTCATCCCCCATATAGTAATTCATCCCCCATAGTAATTCATCCCCCATATAGTAATTCATCCCCCATAGTAATTCATCCCCCATATAGTAATTCATCCCCCATAGTAATTCATCCCCCATATAGTAATTCATCCCCCATAGTAATTCATCCCCCATAGTAATTCATCCCCCATATAGTAATTCATCCCCCATAGTAATTCATCCCCCATAGTAATTAATCCCCCATATAGTAATTCATCCCCCATATAGTAATTCATCCCCCATAGTAATTCATCCCCCCTATAGTAATTCATCCCCCATAGTAATTCATCCCCCATATAGTAATTCATCCCTCATATAGTAATTCATCCCCCATATAGTAATTCATCCCCCATAGTAATTCATCCCTCATATAGTATTTCATCCCCCATAGTAATTCATCCCCCATATAGTATTTCATCCCTCATATAGTAATTCATCCCCCATATTAATTCATCCCCCATATAGTAATTCATCCCCCATAGTAATTCATCCCCCATAGTAATTCATCCCCCATGTAGTAATTCATCCCCCATATTAATTCATCCCCCATATAGTAATTCATCCCCCATAGTAATTCATCCCCCATATAGTAATTCATCCCCCATAGTAATTCATCCCCCATATAGTAATTCATCCCCCATATTAATTCATCCCCCATATAGTAATTCATCCCCCATATAGTAATTCATCCCCCATAGTAATTCATCCCCCATAGTAATTCATCCCCCATAGTAATTCCCCCCATATAGTAATTCATCCCCCATATAGTAATTCATCCCCCATAGTAATTCATCCCTCATATAGTAATTCATCCCCCATATAGTAATTCATCCCCCATAGTAATTCATCCCCCATATAGTATTTCATCCCTCATATAGTATTTCATCCCCCACAGTACTATTCCCCCCCAAGTAGTAAGCCAAGTCCCCTGTGTCAATTCACTTACCTTTGCTCCTCTCGCCGTGTTCCCGCGCCGTTCGGGTCTTCAGGGCGGACTGTGAGAGGAGCCTAGCTCCCCTCCCCTCACGTTCGTCACGCTGCCCCGCCTACACACATCCTGACAGCCACATCCGCGGGCCGGATTAAAAGGTCCGCGCGGACTTTTGGGGCGGCCGACAGAGAGGAGGGAGGGGAGCGGGCGCCCGGCACACAGAAGAGCCGCATTAGAGTGTGTAAAGAGCCGCATGTGGCTCGCGAGCCGCGGCTTGCCGACCACTTGGTTGGGGGAAGTTGAGTCTGCTTCAGAAAATAGGGTGTGTGATAGAATTTAAAAATTGTCACTTTGTTGACTTGCAGGTCCTGAAGGGCGCAGCCACATGTTTTTATGCCTTCATTGGCTTCGACATCATTGCTACTACAGGAGAAGAAGCAAAGAGTCCCAACACCTCTATTCCATATGCTATCACAGCTTCATTAATTACCTGTCTGACAGCCTATGTTTCTGTAAGTATCACTAACATTTATTTAATGCAGTAGTATGACACTTTTTTTGTTTTGAAATATGTAATTGGAATAATACTTTTAAAAAGAGTAACAAACAGAGCTTGTGAAACATTTTTTTTTATTTTCACTATTTAATTTAAATATATATCCTATATAAAGGTATAGTTGATGAGAAAATGCTAATAAGATAAAAAAAAAAAGTGTTATGGTGGAATACATAGGTATATTTATATACTGCAAATAAATTGAAAATTGCCACATTTATGCAAAATTCTTTGTCCAAATAAGTAAAACTTTAAAAAGTTACATTGCCAGTTTTTCCTTAACTTTATTATAGGCTATGGTGCTAACCTTTGCATCTTAAAATATAAGAATTTTGGAAGTTTATTAAGCCCATTGAACAGTTCACTGTGTTACAGTTCATTGACCCAATGTTATACTTTCAGCATTTAGGACATCCCCATTACCAAATGTTGGAATACAATGTTCATGTATTTTGCAACAACTACTTCAGTGTTCAGTAGAGATATATTCTTCAACCAGTAGATGGCAGTGTTTATAACTTGTAGCTGCATCTAAGATTAAACTCTATGTCACTTCTCTATAATAAAATTCCTGTTTCCTGTTTGCAGAGAAGCAGCAGATAAACACGTGGACTGTGCACTATCTGTTCTGTAGGGCTATATACAGAATCTCTAACACCAAACTTGGGAGAGGATTTTCTCTTATGTAAAAAAAAATTGTATCTACATATCCATCTTATGAAAAGCATCTGTCTGTACATTATTTTAGCAATTTTACTACTTTGCCATGTTGAAGTGCAATCTTACTTTTTTTTTTAGGTCAGTGTTATATTAACATTAATGGTTCCTTACAATATGATTGATTCAGAATCACCACTGATGGAGATGTTTGTAGCCCATGGATTCTATGCTGCTAAATTCATTGTGGCCATTGGATCTGTAGCTGGGCTTACAGTCAGCCTGTTTGGATCCCTGTTTCCTATGCCCAGAGTCATTTATGCTATGGCTGGTGATGGGTTATTGTTCAGGTAAGCAGTAGTTGTGACGATTGACACCTGTTTGCAATAATTCATCTATTCAAAGATGCATTTTGAACTTTTCTTTTTCAATTTTAGGTTTTTGTCCCATGTCAGTTCCTACACAGAGACTCCTGTGGTGGCTTGTATTGTCTCTGGATTCCTTGCAGCCCTTCTGTCTCTGCTGGTCAGTCTTCGGGACCTGATAGAAATGATGTCTATAGGAACTCTCCTAGCATACACCCTTGTTTCTGTGTGTGTACTTTTATTGCGTTACCAGCCTGAAAGTGATATTGATGGTTTTGTCAAATTTCTGTCTGAGGAACACACCAAAAAGAAAGAAGGAATCCTTGCTGATTGTGAAAAGGAAGCCTGCTCTCCCATGAGTGATGGCGAGGAATTCTCAGGTCCTGCCACCAACACATGTGGAGCAAAGAACCTGCCCTCTCTGGGAGACAATGAAATGCTGATTGGCAAAATCTGATAAGGCCAACTACAATGTGAACCATCCAAACTATGGAACAGTGGACATGACATCTGGAATTGAAGCTGATGGTTCTGAAAATATCTATCTTTTTAAGCTGAAAAAATTTATTGGACCAAGATATTACACAATGAGGATCCGTCTTGGCTTGCCTGGGAAAATGGATCGACCGACTGTTGCTACCGGTCGAACAGTGACCATCTGTGTCATGCTTCTGTTTGTTTTGTTGTTCATCTTTTGCTCATTTATCATATTTGGTGCAGATTACGTATATGACCAAGTATGGTGGGCAGTCCTCCTAGTAATTTTGATGGTACTGCTAATCATTGCCCTGGTTTTTGTGATTCTTCAGCAACCAGAGAATCCCAAGAAGTTGCCATACATGGCCCCATGTGTCCCATTTGTTCCTGCATTTGCAATGATGGTCAATATTTATCTTATGCTTAAACTATCATCTGTAACATGGATTCGTTTTGCTGTCTGGTGCTTCGTGGGTAAGTTATTCAGTACTTCCAATATTTTGATAATGTATACATTTGCATACGTTGCACTGTTAACATCTCATTACTTGGCTAGAAGTGTGTGTGTGTGTGTAGGAACATTCCAATTTTCTTAAAATTCTACCTTGTACACTACAGAGAATTAAGCAAGCAGGGTTTCTTATACTTGAAACCCCTAGAGGGTTCCATCAGAGACCGTTATCATACTGTAAAAACACTAATAAAACACTAACGCTCCTAAACGCTCCTAAAGACTTCTGAATGCTACTAAAATGCTACTAAAAATGATATTATCAGCATTTTTTATCCAGCGTATTTTGAGCTTAAAAAAAACGCTAGTGTGCATTGAGCCTCAATGTTAAACTTGATTTTATCTTATCTAAATGATAAATAGCTACTTTTAATTAGCAGTACATACCTCAGTTTACCTTTCTCCATAATTACCTGGTAATAACCAAATAGTAGAATCAACATGTGGAAAGGATTTGGAGTGCTTAAAGTTGTAAAGGTATTTTTTTTTTTAAATAACAAACATGTCCATACTTATTTACTTACTCTGTGCAATGGAATTGCACAAAGCCACCCCGTACCTCCTCTTTTCAGGCCCCCCACCAGCACTCTGGGCTCCTCCTCTCTATCTAGGGCCCCCATAGGATGCCACTTCCCATGGGGGCACCTGTGTGTGCTCACTCCTGAGCCTCACTGCTGCCTCCATTGACACAGAAAGCAGGACTTGCCCCACACCAACCCGCAGCAGATGTGCACAGCACTGGATTGAATGAGGGATCAGGTAAGTAAAAGGGAAGGGGGGGTTAAGGGACAATACTAATGCCTAAACATATTTTCACAGTACTTTAATACAAGGACTGCATTAAGGTTAAAAATGGTTAGGCTTTATAACCACTTTAAAGACAGATGTTCCCTTTCTTTGGAACACATTAAGCGGTAGCTGAGTAGTTACATCACGCATGACATTTAGCAGTTGATTTGAGATTATATGACCTGCTGCAATCTTTGCTTCTCTTGAATCCTCTAAATGCCACAGACTGGCAGTTGATAATGGCCCCTGAAATCAGAGAATTGTAGTGTGAGAGCAATGGAATACTGTAATGCCAGGATGTAACCTAAAGAAGATATTAGAGGTTCTGTGACTAGTGAATGTATTCACACAGTCCAGAGACCTCTGCTTTTACAGGATTGTCACAATCTCTAGAATCCTTATGTGTAATGTCTGGTGTGGGTACATCATTCTAGATATTAATGGTACTCATATTATCTTTACATATTGCTACTAGGGCAACGCATTAGGAGAAGATGGTTCTGCTAATGCATGTCACGTTAAGCAAACAGGACTTTATAGTTTAAATTTGGTTGCTCTTTGTCCCCTGTGGAGCAGAGGACACCTTGTAAAGGGCACAGATGTCTCTATTACATCTCTTCCAGTTGTATTAATTTCAGGTTCACAGGTGTAGATAGCAATTAAATATGCAGCTCTCTGCTGTAAGCATTTCATCTCCTTAAGACTTTGGCTTGCAGCTGTGAATAATAAAGCATGCATATAAAATGTTGCATGAAAGAGACACACACATAACAAGCAAATAATACATCATTTTTCAGTTACTGTAAAATAATTATCAGATCTCTTGCTTCTATAGCCAAGGACTCATCAAACAGAGTTCACCAGAGCAGATAGTTGGAATTTTAATTTGGCTTATGCATGCCAGGGCTCACCATGACTTGAACAGGCTTCATTAAATTTCTATGAGCTAACTTTGCTCATATACCATCTGGCACTGCTAGACCATAGGCTTCTCTGCACATCAAGAGATTTCTCTACCCCTCATCATACATATTTCATTTCTGAAGCTGTCAGTGATAAAATCATTTAGCATCACAATCAACAATATAATCCTGATGTGGTAAAATATCATAATGGCTGTTTATAATCAGCAAGTGAGCATGTGTACTTGTAGTACAAAAACACAGTTACGTAAAAATGAAAACATGAGAAGGGAAATGAGACGTGGATGGGTTCTTCAGGTTAATTTGCCGAGGTACTTTCACAGTTCATTGTCTGGATATCTTCCAGAGGCTCATTCATTTAACATGAATACAGTAACCAGACATCAAAGGAATTTGCTGTCATGTGATAATGTTTAGCAGGTTGAGGGGTAGTGGGATTTTTGTAGGTACATATTACTGGATCAGTCTTTCGGAATGTTCTTGAAAGAGGTGTGACCCTAAAAGAGCAATAGGAAAATCAATCATTATGGGGCTCTTTGGGCCTCCATGCAGCATTACTTAAAGCTGCAGCCTGTGTCCAATTACACCAGTAGCTTATAGTGTGGTCTACCAATCGTTTTAGTTGCAACTTTTATCATTTACCTACTTTTATTTTATACTAAGCATTTTCCAGAAGACATCGCTATTTGGATAAATCATTATGAAACCAGAAAGTGAAAACTTTATGCAATTGTTATTCAGGAATGATTGGTTAGAAAGCCCAATAGACCATGCACTAGCACATTAAGGTCTTCAGGAGTGGCTATATGTTCTATATTCTAGGAAAACAATACTGATCTCTCTTTTAACAAAGATTTATATGAGAGGTTTTTTTTTTAAGATATTCAACCTATGACACCTTCTTCCATGCCTATCAAGCTGACTGCAAGCACAGCAGGCAGTGGGTTGTCTAACTGTCACAAAATTCTGTCTGAATGTCTGTATTTGGAATTTAACCACTTAATGTGTGACAATCCCATCTACATTCAGGATGCAGAAATTCCTGGGAAGGTTGTAGCAGGCTGCACAGAATTCTTTGTTATATAATTTTGCACTAAAATAATATGTTCAAAATAATTTGTTCAGTATTTCATCAGTAATATTTTATGTGCAGTGTTATGTGGCTGACATTGCAAAAGTGGCCACTGAGGGCTTTTACTGATCATCTATCACAGTGGTCTCCAAACTGCAGCCCGGGGCCAGATGTGGCCCTTTGCTCATCTTTATCCGGCCCTTGGGGCACTCTTCTTCCCACTGATAAAAGGCACTAATCTACCCACTGACACCAACAGTGGGCCATTTTCCCTCCCACAGACACCCACTGCTGTCTGGACCCATATAAATTGTCTTGAAGTTATTCTTTTGCATGAGAGAGACTAATCGTTTTTTTCTTTGCTTCCTTTTCTTTCCTTTATTATAATCTGACTCTAAAACAAAAAAGAATTGAATAAACAAGCATTCAATTTTACTTGGTGATCGTATGCGGAAAGTGGTAATTAATAATGTCTAATTGGTTATTCACTAAGACATATCTTTGCTTACTGGGCACTTTAATAAAAAAAACACCTCTCCAGTGCTCCAAAGGAATAGTTACCAGTCTAGTGGTAAAGATGTCAGAAGTTCAACTTGTCTCAAAACATGATCTTGGCGGTGCAACCCTCCTCAGACTGGGAGATCAAACCTCAAACTAGAGGAGAACACACAGGGGGCACAAACAGCGCATTATCCAAGATTTATTGTTAAAATGTATAAAACCGATAAAATACTCACAAACAACAGAAGAATAATAGCCACTAAAGATCATCGAGCATGGTAGCAGAGTTCCCAACTGACAGTGGAGTTGGCACGCTGATGCTTTTCGGGGACGTGTCCCCTTCCTCAAAACTGAAGAAGCTCTAGCTTTTGCAGGCTTTTATTCTTCTGTTGTTTGTGAGTAGGTTTTCAGTTTTATACTTTTTTAACAATAAATCTTTGATAGTGAACTAGATGTTTGCGTCCCCTGTGTGTTCTCTTCCAGTTTGGGGCACATTTAATACCTGTGTAAAGTTAAAAAACAGGCAGTCAGTTGGGTTTGAACTGTCATTCTAAATAATATTAGAAGATGAAAACAAAGATCATTAGAAAATTGACAGCAAGTTCCTAAAGTCAATGCCTGTCTAGGAATAATAATACATAATTGAAAAAACTATAGAAGACCCAGTAGTTTGGGTGGTCACTACTAAAGGTCTAATTTCTGAGAAGTACGCCTAACTGCTAGATACAATTCTTCCTACATTTCTATTTCTTAGTAGAAGGAGGTGAGAAACAGACCTGGGGCCCATTTTAGACAATATCTGGAATGATCATTTTCAATCCGCACAGCTGGTATCACTTTTCATCCTTAGCAGATTTTCCCTGAATTCCTACATAGGATTGGGCTATGGGACAGCTCACTGCAGTACATATAGCCACTCTTAAGGGAATCCTATTCACCTTCTCTGTTTCTCTGATTGTGCCCCAAACTACAGATGTACTGGGGGGTGATCGAAACTCTTAATGAACTTTTTGTTATTAATCTAGTGGTGGAACTGCTCCCCTATATTCTAGGTTTCTACAGTGCTTCACTTAAAAGATGATAAATTAACCTTACATGTTCCACCTGCTTTAGAGTAGAACTTGTGACAATGCTGCAGCCACTCCCCAGAACACCACCCCCCCCTGAGACAGCAGTATGGGGAGAAGTTCCCTACACAAGCTGTCATTTTTTAAACACAGTGCGGTGTGTGGGACTCCACCCACATGACAGCATCATTCATTCACAGAGTTCTGTGAAAGAATGAACTACAAGTCCTGACAGCCTTAGCGGCTGTCGGCTTGTAGTTCTCAATGAACTACCACGGTGCTATGAAGCGGCATGGTAGTTCATTGATTCTACCTATTAGTATATCTGCTTGATCGTACGGGATTTACGGGCAAGCAGAATCTGACAGGTCTGCAGGAGACCTGCATGGCACCAGCGATCTGCTGTGGTTTACAGGCTCCTGCAACCAAAAATAATAAATGCACATTTTTTACCTGCAAAAAATTGTCATTTATTATTTTTTTGTCAACAGGTGAACTTATCCTTTAATTTAAGGATGACTGTGTATCTCTGGCTGTCACTTGAGCATTTTTGTTGCTTGCAGGATGCTAGCACTAAAATTAATATCAGTAACCGCTCCCTCTGTGGAGGAATGGGTATTAGAATTGAATAGATGTTTTTTATTTGAAAAGAATATACTTCTTACAAAATGCAATGCTTAAATTTGAATCCGTTTGGTCTCGCTGGACAGAGCTGATGTGTCCCTTGCTTGCC